GTTTTCTTAACTTTAAAAGTAAAATTAGTTTTGATTAGAAAATAAAAGATTTATACCTACTGTGTTGTAATAATTTTCTTCTTACCTTAAACACACACCCAGACGTTCTTCAGAACTAATACTTTTGCGCAAAATCGTATTTTTCTTTTTTATATAATTTTTTATCAATTCATGTAGCTCTAGAAATGACGATCTTGAACTTCTAAAATATTGGACAAATTTTTTTGAGGATGGCTAAAATAATTAATTAAAATTTATAGATGTACAATAATAATAATAATATTAGACAACATCACATACTTTGCTCTGTAGGCTTACTCTCGAATCACAATCGCAATAAACGATCCCAATCTCAATGCAAAAAACGTCAATTGGCACTCTTGAATTCAACACTAGCGCCACATTGGTGCGGATATTGAGTGAACTAAATTCCATTGAGTTTGGCTCCATATCGCGTTGAAGTTGTGTTATTATTGGATATTGTCACAATAGCGAAAGAGTAACTTTGTTACAATTGAGTTTAATTTTTATTAGTGAAAAAGTGCATAAAATGGCTCATTTGGTGTTGCAAAACGTTATACTTAGTGACGCACAAACGAAGGATTTGCGAGAAACGCGTAATTTGCGTAGGATTGCTCGGTACGCCGATAAAGCCCTTGCTGTGAACGACGATGAATTTAAGCGAAATCATCGTGTCACCAAGGCATTTTTCCATGAATTATGTCAAGAACTAGAACCCTTGATGCAAACTCCAAAAAGAAAAAGTGATATCAGTACAAAATACAAGGTAATTACATATGTTTGAAATTATGTGTTTGTGATATTTGAACACATAAGTTTGTAAAAGTAAGTGTTTCATTTGGTTTACAGACATTAGTAGCACTTTCATTCTTTGCGACTGGCAGCTACCAACGCCTAGTAGGAAGTTCACTAGGTACTCCGATGTCACAACAATCAGTATCTCGATCGTTGAGAGATGTATTAGGAGCATTAAATAGCCCGAGAATCCTACAAATATACATAAAATTTCCTCAAACTCAACAAGACCGCAATAGTATTAAAAGACGGTCTGTAAAATGCATTTAATAAAGTAAACCATAAAAGTTTGTCGATTATCTTTTGTTTTTAGGTTTTATGAAAAATTTGGCATACCTGGAGTAATCGGATGCATAGATGGAACCCATGTGGCTATAGTACGTCCTGCTGAAAACGAAGAGAGGTATTTTAACAGGAAACATTTCCATTCTAGGAATGTATTAATAGCATGTATCCAATTATATGTTCATTTAATAAATTTAAGTAACAAAAGCTTATTTATTTTTCATAATATGCACACTACATTGTTAATTTTCATTACAGATTTGTGACTCTGATTTAAATATACTAAGTGTGGATGCATCATTTGGAGGAGCATCCCATGACAGTTTTATCTGGAACCAGCATCCAGTGAAAGATCACCTTATGCAATTGATTAATGCTGGTGAATTTGCAATTTTACTTGGTAAATATTATTTCTCATAAATTTTTTACTTAAATTTACCATAATTACATTTTTTTAATATGCTAACATTATTTCAGGAGATTCTGGGTATGCACAAAGGGAATATTGGAGTTATTGGAGTGCTTAAAAATCGTTGGAGGTGTTTGTTGGGGCACAGGCTGTTACATTATAACCCTGATGTTACAGCAAAAATTATAAATGCTTGCTGTGTGCTCCACAATACGTGTAACAGGGCACATATAATTGTGGAGAATGATGAGAACTTTGATAATGGTAATATAAGTAGACCTAGGTCGGTTGATGTAGAACCTGCGCAGCAAGAGAGAAGTGGAGCTTCTATAGAGCTGCAAAGGGGTGTAGAAGCTAGAGCAAATCTTGTGCGACAATTGTGGGCAGCACGTGGTGCAAGATAAAACTAAATATCCTCACAGGAAGTAGATACTTTTAGTTTAATCAAACAATCTTTTAAGTCCAAAAATATGTATTTATTTATAATCTATATTGACCTAATTATACTTTATAAAATTATTGTATAAATTAAATTAAAAAAAACTATTATCAAATAAAATAAAATAAAAAACTATGATCATTCGCATGATATCAATCATGGGAATGATCGGGTCTCCCTGCTGTTGCTGCAATACAGTCGCCCAAATATCTTATTGCTGCAGCAATGAGCTCGCCGGACTGCGTTATAGCAGCAGTGGACTGCGTCACAGCAGCAGCAAGTTGCGATAGAGATTGCGCTTTCTCCATCTGTGCCTGTGCATTCTTCATCTCCGCTTCTACGCGTCTCGACTCGATTTCTTCAAAACGCCGAACTTGCGAGTCCATAAAAGAAACTCGGCGGCCCTGACGCCTTTGTTGACCGAGTCGTGGCGCACGGCGACTTTCTCAAAAGAATAAATAATTAAGTATAAATTTACACACCTTGGCTTGAGGTGTATTATAGTAATACTCTAAATATAAAAATGCCTACCAGATGGAAGCACAGAACTTGTTTCGCCTTGCTGCTCGCCGTGTTCCACCCGCAGCTCAGCCTCTACAGGACATGGTGGAACTTGATCACTTTCCTGTATTTCAGATGCAACTACTTCTACAGCTGCAATCTGGGATGTGGATGGAAGGTCCACCAAAATTGAAGGGTTAGACTGTAACAGCAAAGAAAAAAGGAAGTCATTAAATATCACACAACTGAATTATGCAAATGGATATATATCATAATTGTGTGCAAAATAAAGAAATGGTTTCTTTATTAATTACTCCTAGTTTACAATATTTTTTTTCTTTTATTTATATTTCAGTTTTGTTAATGTTATTCAGCTGATCATATCATAACATATTTAAGAATATATTTATGTACACTATTATTTAAACAAAAATGTATTACAATTTACAGCCATTTTTGGCATGATAGGGACCAATACTGTAATGAGTTTCTTTCGGCATTTCTTCTCTACAGTGGTCATTCCGAAATGCTAGTAGTTTGTACCTTATTATAATACTGTTTATTCAAACCTTGACATGAAAAAGTGCCTGAGTAGGAAGGCCTAGTTTCTGAATAAACAAATTTTATGTTATATTTTTATTTTATTATACTCACATCACTCTGCGGAAACGGATCTACAGCTAGGCCTCTGTTGCCTGTGGCAAAAGAGTCACCACCCATCGCCACTAATCTTTGTTCGAGCAGTGACAGCTCTGGGACAACATCAAATCCACCTCCAGTACGCCTCATAGACTGAGCCCGCTGTTGGCAGAGCTTTTTCAAGGCAGACTTCTTTTCTGCCCAATACTAATCCAGAAAAAAGGAAATAATTGTGATTTAGTAAGTGATATTATTAAAGATTTAACTTCACTGAAATACTTTTTTGTTTGCTCACGTTAGCCCAAGCCTGCCCATCTTTGACCACCCCACCCATGGCGTTTGTGGCAGTCGCAAACTCCTGCCACTTCCTTTTAGTTTCCACTTTGGCTTGCTGTGTTGACAGAAGGCCTCGTGCTATTCCTGAGTTTTGTTCCAGGAACTCCACTAAGGCTTCCATTTGGTGTGGGGTAGGTCTGTTTGCCATTTCTGCAATAAGATACAGCATTAGGCATATATTGTTCTTTAAAACTAATTTTACAACATTCAATCGTTTGATATCTACATATAAACATATCACGCCGTTTCCCACAGGGGTAGGTAAAGTCTAAAGATAATAAATAAAGAGACTAAATAGTTTGCTAAATAAAAAGTATTCGCAAGAAATAAAAAGTGAAATAATTACCTTGATTTGAGTGAAAATTAGGAAGGTGCAATGTTGTTGTGCCGTGAATATTGTCGCAACACTAAACTTCATTTTTAGTAACTTTGTCACACAATTCACAAACTTTAGAGCACTTAAAACACTTAAAATATTTCTAAAACAAATGGGGTTCAAACCACTTCAACTTGATTTATTTATGTTGTAACTTTTTTTAAACTTGATAAACTTCACACATGTTGAGGCCCAGAACAAACTCATACAGCCAAATACGCAGGTTTTAACATTTATATTGATCATTGTTGCCTAAAAGTAATTTTATTAGTAAGAAATATACATTTTTGATAAACGTACATTTTAAAATTAATAGTTTTATTAAAAATTACTCAAATTTAATATTTTATATCGAAGCTTTAGTTCATTCATTCGTTCTTTTTCCGTGGGTGATAGGTCGACGTCAAATTGACGTATAAGTGGAAATTACTATGCCAACATAATCCCAATTCCAATCCAATTACAATAATAATGATTTCAAGAGTAACAAACTAAATCGTGATTGGAATTGCATTGTAAAGAAATTGAGATTGAGATTGAATTCAAGAGTCAGGTCCCTGGTTGCAGTGTCTTCAACAAGGAGCACCCATTTCTCACCATTTGAACCCTCAGGTAAAGGCCCAAATAAGTCCACAGCTAAAGTCTCACCACGTTGGTTCATGATTGGTGTTTGCAGAAGTCCAGCAGGTTTCTGGTTACAACTCTTATAGCGTTGACACTCTTCGCAATTCTTAATATACTCCGAAATGTACTTTCTCATTCCCGTGAAATAGTATTTCTGGCAAATCTTATCCAACGTCCGTTCTACGCCGTGGTGTCCAGCGGTAGGCGCATCGTGAAACTCCTTCAAGACCTCCTCACGCTTGCTTACCGGAATAACGAGCTGAGGTTCTTCAGTTTCATTATCTGGGTTGTAACGAAACAAAACCCCACGATCCACTACGTATCCCCGCTCAGACCATCGTAAATTGCTAAGCGAGTCTGCAGATTCCAAATCTCGGATAATTTTGGCGACTGCCGAAATGCTGCTCTTCAAGTTGCGAATCACGGAGTTTAGTCGCGTCGATACGAGGGAGATCGACAGTAATGGAACAGACGCCGCAGTTTTCATCATTCCCATCGCAAAAGGGTCTACTGAGAGTGTCCGCTATGACATTAGTCTTCCCTGGGGTATAATCGTATTGGATAATGAACGACTGGAGCTGCAACGCCCATCGAACAAGGCGCCCGCTTGGGGATTTAACGGTAAACAGCCACTTTAAAGGCTGGTGGTCGCTCTTGACGCGAATACTGTGACCGTCAATGTATGGCCGGAACTTCTCAACAGCCCATACAACAGTCAGGGCCTCCCGCTCCGTAGTACTGTATCTCCTTTCGGCAGGCAGTAACAGAAGACTGGCATACTCCAAAGGGTGTTCCTCTCCGCCCTCACACTGCAACAGTACCGCACCAATGGCGTAGTCACTTGCGTCTGTTCGCAGGATGAATGGTTTGTTGTAGTCAGCTTGTATAAGTATTGGAGAACTTGTAAGTTTCTCTTTAAGAGCGCGGAACGCCTCACGCTGTTCATTCCCCCAAGTCCAATATTGATTTTTCTTAGTAAGCTTACTAAGTGGTTGAGCTATTTTAGCAAAGTTTGTTATAAACTTGCGAAACCAAGAACAAGTTTGAAGGAACGTTCGTAAATGTTTGAGGTTAGAAGGATCTTTCATATCCATAATTACTTCAATTTTCTTAGGGTCAGGTTTAATACCAGCGGGGGTAATCACATGACCGACCCAGGTATGTTACCTCTTTCCTAACAAAAGTACATTTTTTCCTATTAGCGGTTAGACCGAAAACGCGAAGACGATCAAATACTTTCTGCGAGTCCTGTAGGTGTTGTTCAAAATTGCTGGAAATAACTAGGATATCATCCAAATAAGACAAAATAGAAACATCTTGAAGACTAGATCCTGAGCGGAACCTATCCATCATACGTTGGAAAGTAGATGGCGCATTTTTCAGACCAAACGGCATTCGGATAAAACGGTAAGTACCTAATGGAGAAATAAACGCGGTTTTGTCGCGGTCAGAAGGAGCCATGCTTACCTGCCAATAACCAGATTTAAGGTCGATCGTAGACATATAATAACCTCGCTTAGTAGAATGAACAAGGTCATCTATGACGGGTAAGGGATAATGGTCCGTTTTCGTAATAGAATTCAAGCGGCGATAGTCCACACAAAACCTCACACTGCCATCTTTTTTAGGTACCATGACCACTGGAGAGATCCACTCTGATTCACACTCTTCGATTACTCCTTCCTGGAGCATCTTATCGATCTCCGTTTTCATTACCTCCTTCTTAGCGGGTGTAACGCGGTAAGGCGGACACGATATAGTGGTCTCCAGTGTCAATATGATGTTCGGCGAAGGTTGTAGGTGCTCCCCCTGGCTGAAAAATATCATTGTTTTCATTTAAAAGATTCAGTAGGCGCAGCTTCTCCGGGACTAGAACAACGCCCTCATCTTCCCGCAGGACGTCAGCAGCGAAGCAAGGTACAATCGGCGAGAATGATTCAAAGTTCAACTGAAAAACTGAATCATTACCTAAATAACGCCACGTTCCATGGGAAAAATCTAAAGAAATTCCGGCTGCCATTATAAAATCCATACCCAAGAGGGTTTCATTATTTGACGCATCCGGTACAATAACAAACTGTGAAATAATGACTCGATCTCCTTTAATTCTAACTTCGACTTTCGCGATTAAAACTCTGCGTTCTCGAGCGGTACCGTCTGCGAGTTTTACATTCATAGAAGTTTCAATCATGTGACAATTACGCTGCCGTAATATTTTATATAAGGTATAGCCAGCAACGCTCCGTTAATATATCCGATAATAGCTATACCTCGAATTCCCGAAACTTCAATTTCTAGGATGGGACGACGGTAATAACCGGTAGTTGAATTATTATCAACCGTGTACTCAGATGACATATTTGACAAATTTAAATTTTCCACGCCCTCAGCTGTCGAGGTCGTAGTCCCGGATTTGTCCACGAATTTTTGGGTCACCCTACTTTCATTTGGGACTGTAGTACTTTGGTCCGAAAAATTCTGTCTTGCATGGCTGCGAACAACGCAGCCATTTGGTTAACATTTCCCGGATCCTCCTCGGAGTCGTCCTGCTGACGCGTACGCGGCATCTTAAATTCTACACCAAGGGCACGTTGGGCGCCAGTATAGTGAAACGGGTGAGGGTCTTAGTACCCTTGGGAGATCAGAACGACACCTCTTAAACCTTCAAGCGACAAGAGACAACACACACGACACGTCCGTCATCCTATACGCCAACGTCATATGTCCGCACTCGCTATAGTGACGGCCAGTCGTAGGGTCGTACCAAGGAGGCGCGTTACAATACTCAGTTTTTAAAAATATGTGTGGTAGCGATACCTTATTTGATAAGGAATTGATTTTATGAATAGGTGTTTCACGATCTGGTACGACATGGGACTCCGAAGAGATGCATTTTTTAGAGTTAAGAGATTTAGATTTAAGATATTCGATGCTCAACGAGGCAGAGGCTCCCAGATGGGAGGGTTGAGAGTTTGATTTAGAAGATTTAGTATTCAACGAATCAGTGGCTCCCGGTTGGGAGAGTTGAAAATTTGATTTAGAGGATTTAGTACTCAACGAGTCAATGGCTCCCGGATGGGAGAGTTGAGAAATTGATTTAGAAGATTTAGTATTCTTGGTGCCATAATTTTTCACAGGTATGCACCGGCACGGTTGTGATACCTGAGTATTTAGTTTAAATTACGGTCTTGTTCCGTTGAACAAACATCGCAATCGCAGGTGGATTGTGTTTCGACATCGTTGCATTCTGAATGCGACAAAGGCGGCGGTGGAATTGAAATATGATGTTGTTGATTATTGTTTGAGTTGTGGGAATTGTTATGTTTGGAATTATTATATGCTCGTTTACGACATTGTGAAATATCGTGTCCGGGTTTTTTGCAATATCTACATGTGAGTCCCGAACTCGAAGATTGATTAAAATTCCCTGGGAATAATTTCGGCTGAAATGAATGTGGATTAGAAGGTCTAGGAAAAGAAGGTTTCGGAATCGTTTAACATTCGTTATCGGAATAACCTTGCTTTCTACATATTCTGCAAAATTTAGATTTTACGGTAGTTTTGTGTAGAAGATTTTGTAGTTTTTCCTCTTCCGTGGCAATGTTAATTGCCTCGCTCAGTGTAGTCGGGTCTCTACACCGAACCATGTTACTTAATCTCGGATGAAGCCCTAGGTTGAAAGTGTAGAGAGCAAGGTCCTCATAGCAATTCGACCAGGTAGTTCCTTTTAAAGGGAATCAGAGTTGTATATTTCAGCTTGAAGGTCCCTGAGGCATGTCTCAATTCTCAAGGCAAATTGAGCTACGTTTTCGTTTAACTGTTGTTTGCAGGACTGTAAGTCCAGCAATAAATTATTGTAATGTTTTCTTTCACCGAAGTTTAATTTTAAAAACGTTTTGAGATAGTCGAATTTTTCACAAACTTTGCTAGCGCTTGCGATCTGCGCTTTACCATCTAATCTCGCAATAATAAAT